GTAGCCGACTGTTTCTTTCCAGTTCGATTGTAAACTTGATATGTTCCAACGTTGTGTTGAGCAGCTCATGTGCGTCGTGTACTGAGTCCCGTTTCATGATGACGAACGTGTCGTCCACATAGCGGACCCACAGCTTTAGATCCATTATCGTCTTGAGTCATGACAGCATTTGGGTGGTGCTCTTGTGCTTTTCGCACGAAACGTACAGAAGCACGGGAAATTTAAGAATTATGTTGTTCAGCAACGAGTGGACACCAATATTTTGTGGCTTTTATGGAGACGCTGATTATATTCCTGATCATTCAACTTCATTTCACTTTAGGACTACACATTTTCACCATTTTCACCTCGATAAGAAGAACAAATGAGGTACAGTGTATCAACTGGCTAAAGGGAGCATATCAGAAAGGATTTCTACCCGGTTACGATTCGCAGACAGAACCCTTTGATTTTGTTTTGCAGGACGGATCTTCTGCTGACTGTTTTTGAAACGGACTACTTCTGCCATCTCTAAGTAGTTGCATAAGGCGAACACGGGTGTACCGAACCACAAGTGATGGGAGATGCAACTTTTCTTCTTTCTACAGGACTTAAACAAGAAAACAACAGTGTGCTCGAAAAAGGTTAGTCCAATTAGCAGAGCAGAAACACAAACTGTTTTATTGTCTTGATCTTTGCAACGTTTGGGCATCTTCTATGAATATAGTTGACTGCGGAGCAGTTTGGATTCTTTTATTACATTCTCGTCTAATGCCTCTCACGCAGTGGGCATTACACGGTGATCCATTGGCCCACAGCATACTAGGAATATTTATCTTATCTGCGCAGCCGCAAGCTACGTTTGTCTGCTATCAACCGACTCCTGAAATTGCAATTGATAATTCTAGGCGTGCCTATATCTGTCCAGGCGAAGAAGACACTGAAGACCACTGGCACTCCCACAATAGAATGATTCAACTCTTTATGGAAACTATACGCAGAGTAGAAACATTTCATGTGAGTCACACTTGGACATCGTGTTTTGCCTTGGTCTTGCAAGCTGAGGACGTTTTCGTCTGCAGATCAACATGATTCTTGCCAAAAATGACGTGAAGACTGGAAAAACAATCAAGAAGCTTATGATTCGCCTTGAATGGTTGGAGATGACGTGGGGTGCTAGTTGCTTGTGGCCGAAATTTGATCCTTTAGGGATTGCCCGCTTTTTCTCAGAAATCTTTGCCGTCCCGCTTTTCAAATCGTCTCCGTAGCCGTAAAACGCCTTTGATGCATCTGACCGTATATTTCGGGTCACCACACTCAACAAGGAACAAGAGTAATCTTTCAGAACTTTATTTTTCAGTGGAGGGGTTCGCGAACCTGAGTAATTTGTCGCACCGTCTTCCTTTACTAGGGTAAAATATGACTCTGAGATAATTCAGCAGACATGCAAACATTTTCGAAAAGCAAATTTACAGCAGTTTTTTACATGTGAGTTGGATTTGGGGTTTTATTCAGAGTTAGGCTAAATAAGATTTTTTCCCATCTTCTCTAATATATGGATTTCTTGTAAACGGGAAAATTTTTTCACAGAGGGCATCAGAAAAAACATAAGTAAGTCGCCATTCTCATTTCAGTTCAGTCCGGTTAGCTTTCCCATTTTCAGTGATCTAAGAAATTTCTGATAAAAATTTCACACAAAATTCGATTGTGGTGAGGCCTTTATTTCAAGTAAGGATCAGTGGAACGGCGTTCAGAGTGACGTGACAGGTGTGGTGGCCATCCAATCATGTTGAATAGTTTAAGGTTTCAAATAGTTTAAAAGTTATATTATACCTCATCGCTTGTGTATTTCAGACGAAAAAGACTGAAAATATTCAAATATGGAGACAAATACTCTAGCTAGTGGGAAAAGTTAAACTGTAATAAGGAAAATGAGTGACGGGGTCAAATAACTGCAGAAAATATGCCATCTGGCTAATTATCCCCCGTTCAGTTTGCGGTGACTTCACCCAATCTTCAAAATCTATCTCAGTTCTCCGATCAGTTCCAGTCCAGTTGTTGCACTTTTACACAATGATGCTCACATGTGCAGTGTTGACTAACGTTAACTGCAGACGTCGCGATCATGTGGCAGATGGTGTGGTCAATCCTATGGTCCCTCGGACAAGACAACACACCGGCTAATTTGTGTAGACGTACACGATAAATACGATGTTCCGAGAAATATGGGGGAGGCGAACCGGCCGAGCTTCAATAACTGGAGTGCCGACTTTGGGGTGAATGCACGTAGGATGTCACAACCTTGAAACCCATCCAGGTTTGTCGGACTAACGATGATTATCTATTGATAAAATTTGTGTACAGTCACGACTTGACACAAACATATGAACCTGTAAGTGCTTGTAAACAAACGCATCAAACAGACCGCGGTTCCAAACGGCACATTTGGCTGAATCGTAAAATAATTCGAAAAACAAAAACCGAAAGCACCATTTTAATATCTCTCAAAAGACTCCAGATTCTTTGAGATGTAACTCTGTTCTACTGTTAGGGTTAGCTTACTTATTTTCAGTCTCTTGTCAGTCATACATTCACGTGAAGCTTAGTACTAAGACAGCAGATGGACATTAATCTCTCGGTCAGTCAATCTGTTTGAACAGATATGACAAGTAGGCCAAGATACAATGGCTCTTGACGGAAGATAAAAAGCCCTCGGAACTGACACCCAGACATCTAGAACGTTGATATGGCTTCAGATACAGTCAAGTACAAAGGGTCTTGACTGTCAGATAGTATAATGCGGGCAAAGTTATTACATGCGTCAAGGTGTCTGCCGGCTGTCACTTAGATTGACATTCGTAGAGATCTATTTCCTTGATATAACTGAGGAAAAGTAAATAAGATAGTGAAGCAATAACATACAGTTTGAAAACACAAAAAGTCCGCTGGGCTTTGTGAAAATAAGTTTGGATTTGAGGCGAAAAGCTTGATTTATTATCTAGACTAGCGCTGAGGTTCCTTTCATCAGTGGGTCTTAGAAGAACGTAGTCAAGAAACGTAATAGAAAATTTTGGGTTGAGTGAGTACAACCGTTACAAGCAACAGATTGGTTGGTTACTCGTACCTGTAAGTAAAATATCGCCTCCCAAAGTGTTCCATCTCACTGGTACGGAAACAGAAAGTTCGACTGCTCTCATCTCACACCACACCAACTTTTTTCGAATGTACAATTTTTGCAATGGCGTTCTCCGCTCTAATGACTACGATGTTCCGCCTTTAAATTTGTTGTCCTCAGTCGAGTAGGACTGGTCCTGAATGCTCCAATTTTACCCATAGTCAGGGTCGAAATGCAATAATGTATTGTGTTTAAATACAACTTCATCGAAATTCTAACCCGGACGGATTAGTCTTCAACTAGTGTCCGGACTAAATGCGAGGTGCTCAGTGTGGTGATTCCCAACGAGTAGTTAACAGGTGAAATCCGTGTAGATGGTTGGATAATGGATAGACAGACTTTCGTTGAGATCACCGGATGATGAGACTCATTTATTTTGCTCATACATGCTGGTTAACTAGGATATCCAGATTCAACTAACGGGCGTGACTTTCGCCTAATCAGTTAGTAAGCTAATCTGTTGTCTTACCAAATGCCGAATGTATTTTCCGGACAATTGACCACAAGGTCGCTATCAGTCCAGCAATTTTCTTGAGCAGTCGAACAGGTAAAACCTGTTGCACACACATCGAGTAACACAATCAAATTTATCCGCCTTTTCCTCTTAAATAAGACTTTTTGGAAAAACTTTATGGTGAGTACTTTGGTGAAAGCTGTCAGTTACCGAGAGAATAATTTGGTTTCATTCCTTTGCACCCAACACTGCCCTACTACTACATTGCACACCTGGTGTAATGCGAAGGATGCCACTGCCCTACTGATTTCTGCATTGCACACCTGGTGTAATGCGAAGGATGTAAACGCTCGTTTTTGAGTTTAACACACCCATGCCGTTTGAGCTTTGCCTCATTGATTTGTGTGTCGTACCTCATTGTTACCATTTCCTGACCTCTTTCGACGACATTCGGCAAATTACGGAGAGATGTGAAAAATCGAGTGCAGATTGTTTTGTAGACACCACTTGAGAAGCCAAGGTGATTAGAAGTAAACCTAACCCATTCCGTTTGGCCATTAAATTTCGTTTGGCGTTACTTAATCTTGGCTAAAATATATGACATGATCAAATAGCCGAAATTAAAAAAACGGAAATCAACCCACAATGGTTACAGAATATGAGTTGGAGAACTCACTCAAGAAGTCGGAAACAACACTATCTCTTTCGGCCACAAAATACTACTTAAATTAGGGGGGGAGTGTCCCGACCGTTTGTAGCATTCCCAGAGAGTGGAAATAAGGGATCTGTCGGCCGAGGAGCTAGTAGTATATCGTGAGTAAAAAATTGTCTCTTACGCAAATCGAGTTACTAACACAGCCGCCCTGGCAGGAAGGTCAAGTTTCCAACCTACCTGTTGGGGGTCACGGATCCGAAACTACCTACTGAAGTTTTGAGATGCAAACTACTGATGGTTCTCAATGAGGATTAGGCAGTTGCACACTGCTTCCTGGCTTTTCAGCTCAGACTGGCTTCATTTGCTTGAGATTTGAAATGACCAAAGCTCGGCAATCCATTATCAAACTGATCCCCATTACTGTGCAGATAAAATGAATAAAAACGTTTCAATTGTGTGCCGAGAAGAATATGGATGGACATTCGAAAGCATTTCCCAAAGTTGGTTCTTTGTTTCTCCAATGAAAACGATCAGTGAAGGCGCTCAGTGCAATCCCCTGAATTGGAAAGACAAGTCGATACGGATAAAATTGACGAGAAAACACCAAAGTTCCTAGGCTCATGCAAAAGTTATTTGATGAAATGGCTCTTATTTTTTGCGACGCAAGTTTTAGCTTTGCTTTGTGGTGGTTGCTGTATTGTGTCCATTAATGAGAGGTCGAATCAACCTACCCAAAGTTCTTCCCATAGCACAAACTGATGTGGGGGTGAAGATGTATCCAACTAAAATGCACTCAAATACATTGGACTGTCTTGTTCGCCAAGCTGTTTTAGCTATCGACCGAAAGTAATGCCCCAAAATGTGATATGGTGAATGTTTTCTTCACTTATTTGAAGATGAGCATTAAAGTCCCAAGATCAACTATACAGCATAATTTCATTATGGAAAGGAGCGACCAAAGTCTTTTCCTCAAGAGAGGCTAGGTAACCTTTGCCGCCCTGCAGGTCCAGTCTCAACAAGAACCTTTACCCCTACAATGTAGATGACTGGTTCGCTATGTTGATGCGGTTGCATGCGGCAATGAAACAAGCTCCGGCACACATCATCGTCACGTAGCGGCTGTATGTGAAGAATCATCGGTATCACGCTCAATGTACAGCAGTACCACGTTGATCAGTCTCTGGTTTATGGATGAGACTACAAGACCAAGTGGTCAACCTTTTCCTGCAAAAATTCCTTTGTTTCCAATAAAAGGACGTCTAAAAACCCTGAAGGGTGAGTGCAACTTACGAATATGCGCATTATTTGGTTAGAAATGACGATTTTAATAAATATACGCAGAGATATACGATCAAAAAAT